TTCCCGTCACAAGTTGTCCTTTTTCTTTCTCAATCTATATATACGAAAGAAAAAAAAGCAGATCATGGATCATGCAAACATTAACGAATTCACATCTCATTTGAGATTGAGAAGTAGTTTATATATCAATAAATACCTTGTAAGTTGCAACGTCATCAATAACTCGACCAATTAATGCTGAAGCCACAAGAATCTTAGGTTTATTCATCATCCAATCGAATGCTGCCTTTGAAGCTGATTTCATGCCCAATAATGAAGCTGGTGCAAGTAGGTAATAAGTTCCAGTTATGAGTGCATTGCTTAGGTATTCTTCAAATGGTGGACTTTTCCCTTTGATGAACCATTGTGCTTCAGTGTAGTAACTCCTCACGATTTCTTTCATCTTTATGTTTGAGAAATATAATAATATTAATTAAACTCATAAAATGAAAGAAAAATTATATATCTTAGAGTTTTAAGTGATCATACCGCCTCTTTGACGTAATATACTCTATTGAAACTCATATCTTGTTTCTCTACTTCGATGTCATATTCTTTGAAGAGATCGAGAAGAGTTGAATACACCGTTTTCATATATGTAGGGAGTCGATCAATTTCACTTGTATCCCACCTGCAATGATCGACAATGTTTTAATGTGAGTACCTTATTCCAACAATCATTATAGAGTAGATGTTTAATCAAATATTTTCATGAGTCTTTAGATGTACATTAGAAATTAAAAATGGAATATTGCATACCGGTCCACGGCTTCTGTGAATACTTCTAGTTCATCAAGAGTACCATATGAATCATATGTGTCGTCAATTACTGAAATCATAGCTACGCATTTTGCAAGCATAATTCGAGCATGAGAATATTGAGGTTCAAAATACACCCCTACGGCCCAAAAAAAGCACTCCACCATTCTATCTCGAACATACGAAAGCTTAGACGCGAGATCCAAATCTTTCCACCACCTTCAAAATAAATTAATGAGAGTCATATTTAGTTAATTAGCTCAAGTAATAAAATATATATGGTACTCAAATTAAATAAAAGCATCTTACTGTGTGAGTTCACTAAGCTCGTCCTTGTGTAGCACTTGCAACAAATTATAATCTAGTTTGGCAAGCCTTAGTAACTTGTCATTTCTTGATTCAGATTCTCCATATATTGAA